GTTTAAGTCACATAAAAATGCCGCCAAAACTGATTGAAGTTTCTTGTTCTGGACCCTTTGTTGACTTAAAAATGATATTTACTTTTATTTTTTTTTAAATTTTTGTTTATTTCAAAGTCTACCTTTGACAGAGTACACATTTGTACACCGATTTTTATAAAATTAGAGTATATTATGGAGGAGACTTAAAGAATACTTTTTAATACTGTTCACATCATTTGATATACACAGGGTCGCTTATTTTTAATAAAGCAAAAGCGTAAATTCATGATTTTGGCATAACACGCAAAAAAGATCCCCATTTTTTTTTAGATATTTCTACGTTTATCAGGTTACAAAATGGCGTTATTATTAACCTTTTATAAAAAAATAGATTTTTAATAAAATTAAATAAAATATCGCTTATAAGCGATAGAGAATATTTAAAATGTTGTTTAATTTAGGCTTTTTAGTAGTTTTCAATTTTGAACGAAAAACTGGTTAAAGTTTTTTGATCGGCACTCTTTGGAGATTTAAAAACGATATTTACCAAAATTCTAACTGCTTTTTTTAAATTTGTTAAAAAATCATTTTTTTATTTGTTATTTGTTTATCGCAAAGTCTACCTTTGCCAGAGTACACATTTGTACACCGATTTTTATTGATTGCAGTTTCTTGTTTGGGACCCTTTGGTAACTTTAAAATATTTACCAAAATCCTAGCTGCTCCTATTTTCTAATATTTTCGAAAAATCTTAATTGTTTTTTTAATTTTTGTTTATCTTACCTTTGACAATGTACACATTTGTACACCTATTTTTATAATATTAAAGTAAATTGTTAACGAGACTTGGAGAATACTGTTTTCATACTGAGCACATCATTAGATTTATACAGGGTTAGCCAAAAATCACTTTTTTATATAGTTAAAAACATAATGCACAAAAAAGATTTATCTCCAAAAAATTTTATTTTATTTAGTTTTATTCAAAATCAATTTTTCTTATAAAGACTTAATAAGAATCCCATTTTGTAGCCTGATAAACATAAAAATATCTAAAAAAAACATGGGTATATATCTTTTTTGCGTGTTATGCCAAAATCATGAATTTACGCTTTTGCTTTATGAAAAGAAGCGATTTTTGGCTAATCCTGTATATATTAAATGATGTGCACAGTATAAAAAATTATTCTCCAAATCTCCTTAACAATATACTCCAATATTATAAAAATCGGTTTACAAATGTGTACTCTGTCAACGGTAGACTTTAAGATAAACAAAAATTAAAAAAAAAATAATAAATTTTCAAAAAATTTCGAAAAGAGGAGCAGCTAGGATTTTGGTAAATATCATTTTAAAGTTACCAAAGGGTCCCGGACAAGAAACTGCAATCAATAAAAATCGGTGTACAAATGTGTACTCTGGCAAAGGTAGACTTTTCGATAAACAAATAATAAATAAAAAAATGATTTTTTAACAAATTTAAAAAAAGCAGTTAGAATTTTGGTAAATATCGTTTTTAAATCTCCAAAGAGTGCCGATCAAAAAACTTTAACCAGTTTTTCGTTCAAAATTGAAAACTACTAAGAAGCCTAAATAAAACAACATTTTAAATATTCTCTATCGATTATAAGCGAAATTTTATTTAATTTTATTAAATTTTTTTTATAAAAGGTTAATAAGAATGCCATTTTGTAACCTGATAAACGTAATGTAATGTATCCATGATAACAACACAGCTCTACAATAAATGGACATAAACATGTTTGATTTGTTATTGGCTCAATATTCTTGTTTTTCATATTTTTACGGGAGATTTGCTGACATAGATGCAAAATATAATCGTTGTTCATTCCGGGACAGTAAATCATTGAATTATAAAAATGGCGAGGGGAGATTGCGATCAGAAACAAACAGGATAATAAATCGTTGAAAGCATCAAACAACAACGACGAGAAAAAAAGCGCAGAGAAGCACGAAAGCACCTACAATCGTAAATATAAACTAATCAACAGAGGTATGGGAATTTTTTGGTCGGCCCAATTACAGGATGGAGATAAAAACTTTGAATAGCGTTTGAGGTTGTTTTCCTTTGATTGGCAAGGAAAGAGAGATTTAATCAGACGGCGCGTGGTATCTTTGACATGAAACAGAGGAAAAGATTAAAGAACAATTTTCTTTGGACAAGCGAGAGAATAGAATGCTCAACGTCGTCTTTGGTCGAGTCAATCCGACATAGACAGGCCTGTCAAGTTTATTATTGAAAAGGCCTTTTGCAAAACAATCTTAAACAGCTTTTTGCTTGGAATCCATATTTTAAGCATTATGTAAATATGTAAGTATATTTTTAGGAAATTATTATTGTCATTAACAATTAAATAAATAAATAAACTTTTTTTTAGTTTTAATAATAGGCACGGTATATTAACAATGGTTATGCGCAGAAAAAACGCTTTGATATAGGTAGTCAATAACAATGCTATAATTGATTGTTTTTTAATTTCTCCAATAAAAGTGAAAAATTATTCAATCAAATATGTTTGGAGCAATTAGAGTTAGGAATTGATTTTATTACAAATATTATATTCAGCCCATAACAAAATATTATCAATATAAAATTACTTGTTATAGTGTGAATGGCTCTTTATATTTAAACCTAATGGAAATGTGTACTTCCTTGAAAATTTTAGAAATGATTGTATTCAAAGTTTATCTGATCAATGTGAAATTAACAATATTTAATTAAATATAAAATGGATTTATATTAAAAGTTATAATGCTTCAACCAAAAATTAAAAACAAATGAAATAAGAATAGTCTTGTTTCTTTTAATGTTTATGATTTTTATTCCAATGGAAGGTAAAGTAAGTTATCACTGTCTTGAAAAATACTTATTTGCCCAATTATCATTCCCATTTTTTCAATGCGGCCTATTTTCAATTTAATGATTGCTAAAATTCAGACAAACATGCCTCACCACATATCGGCAACCTGCAATCGCGTACGTGCGTATAGTTAAATGTGATAAACTAATCGGTATTTCTGGTGACGCCGATTGATGTAAGTGCATGGGTTATCTCTGGTATAGGTAGTGTTTGGTTGTTTGTTATATTTGCTAATTTCTTGGGGGTTGTACTTCCTTATCCAGAATTTTCAAGGTAAGTTGAACATGTTTTTTAATTGTATGTCCGCTATGCATTATCCAGTAATTTAATTACTCAATTATATCTAAATGTTAACAAAAAGGTAAATATGTACTCATATAAACCATGGAAACAGTTTATCTTGATAATCGGTGTCATGCCTTAAAATAATTATTTTGCTTAAATGGACGAAGTTTTTATTTACTTATAGAAAAACTTCTCATAGTCTTTCAGTACCATTATGATATCCTTGCAGGGCGTCCTGAAAGTATATATTGTTTTAGGACTTTCAGCAATCTTTAGGATTCGCCTCTAAATACTAAGTACATAAGATGAAGTTCCTATTTCGTTTTAGAATAACCATGTGCCATGGCAGACAGATCCTGCACATCCACTACAGTAACTGTTGGTAGTGATGGGTCAGCAACATTCTTAGAGCTCAAGCTCAAGCCATTCAGTTGGCTTCTTGGACTAAAAGAGCACTTTTGTATACAAAAAAAAAGTTTATATATATATAAACTTTTTTTTATAAAAGTCGGTTAGTGCAAGAACTAAATGAAGGCGACTTTGATCGCCGCTCTCAATTTTGCGAAATTATGACTGAACAAGTGATTAATAATGGATATTTCTTATTTAACGTCAGGGGGACAACTTTTGACTCAAAAAGTAAAGCAAAATCTTCAACCCCCTAAGTGGGGGTGTCATTCTTTTTTCGAATGAGAATGGGGATCAAGTAATGCCTCGTTAAAAAGAGCTTTTCATCTCCTATAAATTTCTGCTTACTTTTTAAAAATCGATTCACTTGTTTAGAAATTATGGAGCTTTGAAATATTAACAAAACGTTTGACGAAGTATACTTACCCTTAAAGTGCCAATTCCTATTCGGACTCTAAGCCAATTAAAGATAAGGATTTAAGGTTTATTCCGATAAAACTATTTTATTGGTTTTAAATTCATTTCCCAGATATCCATCAACAGATGTTACTAATGGTAAATGATGCATCTTGCGTCTTTTGAAAACTGCATTCTATTTTGGGAGTCATAGAACTATAGGAAGCAGCGTCTGTGTTAACAACATGCACATCAAATAACGCCTCGACCAATGGTTCCAAGACCCCAGACATGGTAGGTCAGCATTGGTTCATCATTAATAATTATTGAGCAAATTTTCCCAAGCATCCTCCATCACCAAGAGCATCTCTTAAGTAATTACTTCATTGTGACTTCTAATAATCAATCTACCCATAGACAAGGGACAGGTTGGGTGGATAGGGGTTTTCCCCTTTCCCACAACTTTTTGTACAAAAAATGTCTCTAACATCCTTCACAAATAGTTGGTGGTTTTAATTCGAGAGGAGAAATATCAAGGTTAAAGCGTTAAGTTTTCTAGAATTTTAACTAATGATTTCTCAAAGAGAAAAAATGATTCTTATTAAAAAAATCAAATTAATGTTAAAGAAAAATAGTAGTAATTTCGTGTAAAAATATGAATCTGATTGGGCAAAACCTTCGCAAAAATATGATTAAAAATGTTGTAGACCTTTAAAATCGTTTTTACAAAAGCTTTTTTTTCACAAATAAAATTTTTTTTTTTTTAGTTAATAAAACGTTGTTTTCATATAAATAAAAAAATCTTTATTAAATTGGGAAACAATCTGCCATTTTATTATTTCACTTATTGTTAAGCTTAATAAATGTAACAATTCTTAGTATTTTTGATATAACAATACTAATTTTCTAAAGAATTTGACTCTGAAACAACTTTCTAAAGTAAAATCAAGGACAGATCAAATATAATAAGATATTATCTTTGGGACAGATAATTAAACATAACCTAAAAACGTCAACCTTATAAAAATCATTACAGAAAAAGTAAAAATGTCTTCAGAAGAGCCTGAAAGCACGACAGCAAAAGCCTTGCAAATAAAAAAACGCAAACGCAAGCACAAACAGAGCGAAATCTTTGCAATACCAGGCGTGAAAAAAATGGTAATGAGCGACGAAGCCCAACGGGCTATTTTCTGCGTTGTTGGTGAAGATGTCACTACGGAAGACCCATGGAAATACATCACCAAGTCGGATATACTCGACGATATCGAGATTAATGAGAAGGAGAGTTTGTTTTTTAACTTGGAGCAAACGTTAAGGGATAATCCCAATGATAAAATACTTGTTTGTAAGAGAATGCTATTTTAACACAGACTTTTTATAAACTGGACTTATTTAAAAGGGTACCTGGCTGATGATTCCAAAGATTACGAAGAATTTGCCCTGTGTTTGACTACAGAGGCTGAAGAAAAGGTTTTGGAAATAATCAAAAAAAGACAGGACATCATGCAACAAAGATTGCTCAACTCTGTCATAAAGACTATTAAAGATTGGACAACTATGGGTTCTGAGGACGAAGTTACATATATAAAATTTATATCAAAAGTAAACTAATAAAATTTTTGCTTAGGTTCTGGAGTTAAATGATATCGCAAATAGAAACCTATACGAACTAGAGGTGGAATCAAATTTTCCCATTAGACAAACCAAGGTTATGTTTAGGTTTAGGTATACAGAATCAATAAGGGATGGTTATGTAGAACTAAAACCAGCAAGTGATGAAGTGGCCTTAATTAAAAGAAAACGCATTGATAGAGATATTCAGATTGCCCCCATCAATATATCTTTGGATGTAGAATTCTAAACAAACAATTAAACATTCAATAATAATATTTTTGTAGATGCAAACCCTTCATGCCATACTTAAACAGAATAACTCCACACAATACAGTTTAGATTTCTTCGAAAACGTACTACCAACAGAGGACCTCATTAAAAGGTTTCACAAATACAATGAAGGGCGAATAGAAGAAATGATGGAATCGATAAAATACAACCCGAAACTAAACTTGTACACAAACGACTACATCGTGACCAACCCACAAATGCTCGTCCAATTCGACAACTTCAAGTACCAAGAACATCTTAACATAATCGACGTGAATATTTTCAAAGGCAAAATGGTTTCTATGGTTAGCTGGCATCATTTTTGGACGGGTATTATCGCGGTTGCCTATGTCACTCAAGCGAATCACGTCTATAGAAGGCATCCGTTTCTTTTTGATGAGGTGGATGATGCCGTTCATGGACTCCACTATGTTGCTATCTATTCGGTTATTGACTGTGTTAAGCCCAAGTTGATTTGTAAGGCACCTAGAGAAGTCATTACTATTGTGTTTTGTGAGTTTGATCAGGATATTCTTGTAGGTAAAGTATTATCATCAAGTATAACAAATATTTCAAAATAAGGAGTGTTATTTTGACATTTTAAAGTTTAAAGTTTTATTATTAAGATTATGACATGCTAAAATTTAATCATTTTTAATTAATTATGATATGAAAACTGTCAATGGTCTATATCTTTTAAAGGATAATCGTTAAATAAAATTTAATAAACACGTTTTAAGGGTTCAACTTTTCAACTCCAGCGGATATCTTTTTTAAGAGGAATTTTAATTTTTTAAATAATTCTGCAAAAAAATATTTTTTCCTTATTTTCATAAAAAACCCATTTTTTTTCTACGTTGACGAGCTGTGTCTTAGGCGTTTTAGTCACGGGCTGAAGTTAGAAACAGTTGCTTTTGGTTATTTTAGTCTCGGGACAAGTAACCTTTATTACACATAAAAAATCTAATATAGTACCAAGAACAGCGCTGTCATTAAATGCATTAAAATTGAAGCAATCTAAATTGTTATTTGCTCAATTAATTACTATTAAACCAAAAATAGGAAAAAATTTTGACTAAATGTTAAAGAATTTATTGCGTTAAATGTAAACATAGTATACATACTATAGTAACGTTATTAAATAAATCAAATTAGTATTTAATGCAAAAACATTTTAAAATTTTAACAAATAAATATCAATATAAATATCAATAGATTTGGAAGCGATAACTTTTGTTGTTAATTTAAAAACAGTAAACGATTATAAACGAAGTGCTAACTACCTATTTGTATTATAGGAACTGTTATTCAGGAATACGGATTACAAGATCCCATTGGTTTAATGGCTCACCCATTCATGCTATGCTAGCGTTTTTTCTGTGTATAAATTAAGAAAAAGTGAGGTTAAATGCGTTAAAAGTCGACATGTTTTACAAACTTTTCTAGACACTCATTTTTATTAAACACTAGCTCGCAAGTTTTGCTTGTGCCTAATAAAATGGCGTTTATAAAACTCATATATAATATTTCATATTAAATAATTAAATGTTATATAAATTATTATACACAATAGTGATCCGATTATCAAATTCTTGTCGTACTTTTTCAGAAGTTTCTGGTGTGATGTTTCGACATGCTCCAACTATTCGATGTAGTAGATCTTATAGCGACTTAGGTGGAGTCTGATAAACTAACGACTTAATGTATCACTATAAATAAAACTCCAAGGGGGTTAAATATGTTGATCTGGGCGCCACTCTAACGGTCCTCTTTGGCCAATCCATTTGCCAGGAAATCGGCCAATCCATTTGCCAGGAAAAAGCAAGTTAAGGCAATTTCTGACTGGAAATACATAATGCGGTGGTCTTGTTGGAAGTAAAGGTTATCCTCACCAAGTATCAGGTTTTCATCCTTATCTCTCTGATCTTCAAGTTCTTGTATAATTTAGTTTAGTTTTGTTTCCACGATTTTAAAAAATGAATACATTTTAAAGATACCAGTATGCGAGATTGATCTCTTTTTTTATTTTTAACCAATACAGTTTTTCAAAATTTATCCACAATATTCTAAACATGAGTATGACACAAGTTTTTATCTTTATGTCTCACTCGGAACCCTGCAGCAGTTCCTTAGGCACCATAAATAAAAATAAGTTTGATACCTTCTTCTAAGCTCTAGCTTTTAAGTTCGTACAAAAACAATACTGATAAATTGATTTTTTTAACTTATAAATCAAAAACGTTACCTACCATATCGTAAAACAATTATAATTATTAGAAATATTATAACACCAAAACAAAACACAAAGCGCTTAAAGTACTTTTTGCCAACGATGTTGGCATTTATATCGTCCCTAAATTCACAAAGTGGAATAAACGTTTATTACAGAAAATCTGAAATTTGGGTTATGAAAAAAAAACAATTTTTTGAAATAAACGTTTGGTATACTAAACTTTTATTCCAGAAAATTGTTCCTTTGCATAACATAAATCTTTGGATACGCCACTGGGTGAATTTTAGGGACGATATAAACCACCAAAAATTAAACTTTTTTTTATTGAATTTATTAAACATGGGGACACAAAATTGCAACATAAACATTACAATTTTAATTCAAAATATCTTAAGCAGAATTTAATTGCAATGAGGGCAGGTTCACAAGATTTTTTTTTACAAAATTATAAACGATTTTACTTATTTTGTTTTTATATCACTAGTTGCTCCCGTTTTTTATAAAAATAAGAAAAACTTTTTTTGCAGAATCGTATTAGAATTAAAAGACTTTTTGAACATGACCTGTTTTTATTCCCCCTTTGAACCCTCGAAACATGTTTTTTAAATTTTTCAATGGGACACATTGTATATGTTAAGTAAGTCGTTTATTATTATTACTATTAATAACTCTTTATAAGGTGGTATGGTTAATGGACAAGTGATTATATGGGATAATTTAACACCTAGAATTCAGTTGGTGGAAGCGCCATCTATGTTATCAGTAAACGAAAAACGCTATAAACAGTTAATTTGGTCGATGATGGGTTGGATGAAAAACATTCACGATATTTCTGTGGTTCAACCTGCAGCGGTTTGTCACCCAAGGTATATAAATAATAAAATAGTTTTTTGAGTACGTCCATTCAATAATTTTAAATAATATTTGTATGTAAAGGCATGGACATAAAGCACCAGTAAGTTGTATAACCCTTTCTATACCATCTGAAAAGATCACACCATTAGGTAAAGTTGAAGAAATAGAGGGTGGTAACCTTTCTTATCAGTTTGCTACTGCTGGAGCTGATGGAGTAATACTTATATGGGACTTGAAACAAAAACCCAAGATGGTAGCAGGTAAACTTTACAATACCTGTTAAAAAAGTATACTTATTGTTTTTATTTAAGGAAGTCACAAACCCAGAAAATTTCGACGTCTTACTAAAAAACCCAGCGTCTTGGTATCCGATGAATCCCCGTACAAAATCTTACATCTAAACATGAAGCCCATTTACAAAATTGTGATGCCAACTACCATGCGTTGCCTTGGTTACGTGGCCCTCACAAGTTCGGGTTTTAAAAAAGTTACTTATACCGAACAGGTCGCGTTCACGAAAGGGAAAGAACGCAATTTGGATATGAGATCAATTTATACGTCCTCTTTCGGGGCGCATACTCCAACGCCATACGAATTTTTTTTGGGTACCACCACCGGCGATTATATTTCAACAAAATGGGAAGGTTTGGATTATGATTCAGGCGAAGCTGTTAATTTTGAATATGGTAAAGTCACCAACTGGGGTACAACGGTGCACGATGGTCCTATTTGCAGAATATCGTATTCGTTTCTTTTAAATACCGTGCTAACAGTTGGAGGCTCGGTTTTTGCCCTTTGGCATGTAGAATATCCCTATAATGCATTAATTTGGAGAAAGTTTAATGAGAACCTGATGTGGGGCGGGTTTAATCCAGGAACTAGAACTAGGGTAAACGTACTGACAAATAGCGGTCTTTTATCGTGCTGGTCTTTATACAGAGACAGTAACAAGACCTTTTTGTCCACCCAGGTGGGCAATTGTGCGATTACAGCAAACAAGATACACCCTAAATACCTGGATATGCCAGCCTTTGCAATGGGAGATGAAAAAGGCAACGTAAGGATGTTTTATTTCCCGTGGAAAAATACCATAACCTTGGACGAAGAAAAAAGAAAAATGGGGTCGTTTATGGCGAACGAGGTAAAAGCCAGATTGGCGATATTGGATTGGCAGAAAAAGTGGAATGATAAAAATAGGATTAGTAGTAGCAGCGATGATAAGATAAAGCGGGAGGAAGTGGTGCAAGAGGATGATGTTAAGGTAGAGATGGAGCCGGAACCACAAAGAAAAGTCGAAATTCCGTTACCTGAAAAGATGAAGATGATGTGGGAGAAGAAGGAAAAGGAAAGAATTGCAGCACAAATAAGGTAAATATTGTCCTTTTTATAATCCAAAAGTGTCAGTGTCATTAAGAAAATATATTTTTTTTAAATTTGTTATACTTATACTTATACTTATTTTAGGTTGAGAAAACAAACCGACACAGCAAAATTAGAAAAGTTACGTAAGCCCCTTCAACAAGTCGAGCAAGAAAACGCAATGATGCGTCAAAAACAAAAACAGATACACGCGCAAGCCACAAAAATTTTTGAAGAAACCGTAAAAACCCATTTCCCAAACTACAGAAAGAAGGTTATCGATGACGTAGTCGACCCATACTCTGAAAGCTATTCTGAGGCCGAAAAACTGCAGAACTATAAATATTTCAAAGACATTTTTAATAGAGCCGATGATTACGTTAATAATAATAGGTACAAGTATTATTTTACGTGGAGCAAACTTTTATCTGATAACAGAAAAAGGTGCCAGGTTAGGAATCCCAATACAAAAAGAAGACGCTTTTTAGAAGATATGGAAGATATTACAGATACCTCTGAAGAATCTGTGAGATCACCTGTTTCATCGGTTGAATCAGAAGATAATTAAATTTTTTATGAAGTTGTTAAAAATATATGTATATGCTAAAGTTAATTTTTTAAACGACTAGATTTGCTGGTAAATGACGGTCAATTCAACTAAACTGCGCACCACTCAATGTGTCGCGACCAAAAAGTTCATTCTTTTTCAGAATGACATAACTTTTTTGTTTCTTGGACGATTTTATTTTGGTCTGTGATGTCTCCTAGCCCCATACTTTGGCAATTCATGATATATATATGAAGCTCAAGGTTCTTCAAGTAAATTTCCTACAGGGTGATATGTTAAACGGAAAAAAATTTAATAACTTCATCCAAGCCCCGATTGTAAAAAAATATTTTTTTCTTCCATTTTTACTTTGAAATAATGAAGTAATATCTCATTTTGAAAAAATGGTCTTTGCTTAGGCCCCTCTGAAAATAATGGAAGTTTTTTGCTTGTCGCTTGTACAGAATTATTCAAGGAACAATCTTTTACCATCGTATCTCCTTGTTCTTAAAAAGTCTTATTGTATTGCCTACCAAAAAGGCTTAAATGTACTCTTTAAAAAAAATATATATTTTCCTTGCCAAGATTCCAATACGAAAAAAATGAAAACCTTTTCAAGGTAAGACATAATACTTCATTATTTCAAAGTAAAAACGGGAAAAAAATTATTTTTTTACAAACGGGGCTTGGATGAAGTTATTGAAATTTTTGACCGTTTTACATATCACCCTGTACGAAATTTGCTTGAAGAACCGTGGGCTTCATATCTATAGCATGAATGTCAGGGGATGGTGCTAGCAGAAATCACAGACCAAAATAAAATCGTTCAAGAAACAAAAAAGTTATGTCGTTTTAAAAAAGGACGATCTTTTTGGTCGCGACACATTGAGTGGTGCGCAGTTTATTACAAAATACAGTTTTCCACTTCTATTACGGAATCCGACTTTTAATGTGAAATTACATATATTCCTTATAGTGTTACAGAATTAATTCATCACCGGATAACGGAATAAACACTGGTGGCGACATATCTGTGTTTATTATCTATTTTAGACCGATCCAACCTTATTTTCTCACAATTCAATTATTTTTCTACGGTATTTTTTGAAAACTTAAAAAAAGTATGGTCTGAAACACATTTGGAATTGCATATGCCTTTGGCTCGAGTGACAAACTTTTCCCTCGAGCGGAATATGTCGTATTCCAAAATTGTTACAGAATACGCTATTACAGTTTTGCTACTTAAATATGGGTCGTTTTCAAAAAACACCCGCCTTCCGCTGTCCGTAAGTTTGAATTTCAACTTTGTTAAAAATTATCGGATCTTATTAATTTAAAAACCAAGTGAAAGCCTAACAAGCCCTTAGTAAACTCTTTCAGAAAATGTTTGTTTAGTTATTTCAGAATAATTTTTTTTTAATTTTGAAACTTGTGAAACACACATTTTTGCATGTCCCATTAGCGTTTTATAAAACTTACACACATGTTTTTTTTTAATATTGAATAACCAGAACTTTGTGTTGCTTTATAGCAATCCATAACATGCTTAGTTAATAAAGCAAACAATTTATATATAAATTAATTAATTTTAATATACTTTTTTTAAATTTGACTCATGTCCCAGACATTTTTTCCGGTGCGTTACGTCCGTCGCGTTACTGATAGAATATTTAAAAAAACATATATATGGCAATTTTTTTGGCACTCACGTGATTAACAAATTATGTTCGGACGTATACATTACCCAGCTAAATTTATTTATTCAATCAGGAAGAAGATATTGGTTGAAACAGGTGCGGGTAACGCGAATGTAATAATTGTTTGTCTGTTAAGTTACTCAAAAAAATAATAAAAATAAGGTAAGGAAAAATACTATTTTTCATGTTTATGTTTATTTTAGGGCACTAAAGCTCATTGAGAGTAATTAATGAATGTAATGTTTTATTATTATTTTTTAAATATGGTTTCACAAAACTTTGTCCACTGCGTTACCGAGTCCATTACGCAATGGAATTTAGGGTAACGCAATAGAATTTTTCGACAACAAAGTGGATATTTACCGTCGCTTTTATTAAAAGTAGTTTATGATAAACCACCCTGTTAAATATTTTTATTTCCACCTTCTTAGTAAATGACATTTTATAGTTTAATTTTGTTGTTTTTGTATCCAAGTAAAAGATACATTATGGGAACAGACCTGTAATATTTTACGGGCTTGTATAAAAGACCTGTAAAGTTTTACAGGCTTGTAGAAAAGCAATTTATGAAATGAAATGTCACATTTGACATATTAATTAAAACTTTAAATTTGAAATTCTTTATCTAAAGGTGAAAATAAAAGTTTGTACGTGTCACGCTTTGCAATTAATCTTTACTAGGCTCACTGTATTATGGGGTTCGCTCCTGCGTCGCTCACCCCACAAACTTTCAGCTCGCCCGTAAAGATTCATTTACAAAGCTTGACACGTAAATAACTATAAAAAGGCATACAATTTTTAATAAAAAATAAAATTTGAGTCAAAAGTTTGTGAACTAGGTAAGTACATTTTATTTCAAATTATTTTTATAACATCTTTTTTTATTGAATTAAATTTTGGATTTCAAATTGGTAACACAGTGGAGACATATAAAGCTAGCTAAACACATTTTTCTGAAAAAAACGTAAAAAAAATTAAAAAGTGCACTGCCTGTCTTAAAGGTAAGTAAACAGAACTCTAAATATTTATAAAAATCCAACCAAAAGTCAATTTAAGCAAAACAAATTTTGATCTTCATTTTCCTGAAAGCGGGTGTATCTTGAAAATGACCCATATACGAGCCCTAACACAAAAATGTTCGGACACTTCATTATTTATACAGAAATATTTTTCGTGAATACTATCTCAAAATTATTAGAAGTTATGAAAAATTCAGCTCATTTTAGCATGTACCCCTCGAAGCGATTTTTATTTTTAAAAAGTTTACCTTTTATTTTTAGCTTTTAAAAAAAGGCTAACTTTTAAACTTTTTTTTGTATGAGTAAAAAAAGTTATAAATGGACCCATTGAAAAGAGCATAAAATATTTTTAAAGAGTTTTTGCAATTTTCTTAGGAAACGGGAGATTTTGCAGATATATATATCGTTATAACTTTCTTATTATTTATACAATTTTTACCAAATTTTCAGGGTTTGTATAATATTTTATGTTCTTTTTAATGGGCCCATTTATAACTTTTTTTACTCATACAAAAAGTTAGCCTTTTCTTAAAAGCTAAAAATAAAAGGTAAACTTTTTAAAAATAAAAATTGCTTCGAGGGGTATATGCCAAAATAAGCTGAACTTTTCATAACTTCTAATAATTTTGAGATAGTATTCACGAAAAATATTTCTGTATAAATTATGAAGTGTCCGAACATTTTTGTGTTAGGGCTCGTACATGGTAAAAGAGCGAATTTTTTCTAGGAACTGCACTAATTGCCTTTAATACTTTGTACGGAAAAGGTTACCTGACATTTCGTTATAGCTTTCAGATGCAAGATTTACATAGAAAACGGAACTTTGTTCAAGCGTCTTGCTTTCACGATTATAATGATTTAAAAACTATATTTTCATCAAATGATAATGAATGACAGTTATCACGCTTTTATTTTGGACGGCAGTATTCCATCAATACGCTAAAGAAGGATCGCTAGTAGCGCCACCACGTTGCCGTTATCAGTTTTTAATAAGCAGCTGTCAAACGCGGATGTTACAAACGAGTGTTTTTGAGAATAAAACCGGAAAATGTTAAAAATATCGAGAAAAAAAACCGTGGCACGATTTGTTGTGTTGTTGGGTGTTTTTTGAGAGGAAAACCTGGGTTGAGTTTTTACCGGTTTCTCAATAAACAATGAAAATCCGAATAAAGAAATAAATTGCATACAGTCCCTGAAAATATAAATTGTACTTATTTGATACAATAAATACACATTTTAGTACTGATTGTAGTGAAGTGTAAACATTTCAATTCAGTAAAAATCAAAAAACAAATAAGTCGTCTATATTCAAACAGTGTTATGGATTATTAAAAGCGTTGATTGAGAAAGCCTTGACTCAACGGTAATAAAACAAAAAACGGGTATTATATTATTTATTATATATAATATTATGTTGCCATGAATTCGTAGGTATATTTTGTCGTTTAAAATGCAGTTGTCGGCGTTTTTTTACAAGACACAAATATAAAAATATTCGATTTTGAGGTTGTTTGTACAAACATTATTTTTTGGTAGACTTCTTAAAAATGTCCAAATTTATATATAAATTATATTATTATTATATTATTTGTTGTTGCAGAATTAACCAATGATAGCTTTACCTATATATAGGTTAGTTAATTCTGCAACAACAAATATACGTACCATATTGGATCCTTTGTCAAAACATGAAAATGCAACTATTTGGTTCTTGAATTTTATTTACAATTAAAAACACAATAATTCCCCATGCCCACTTAAATAAAATACACACTAACGTTACTATTTAAGAATATAAGCGTTTAGTTAATTAATAATTAATTATACCTATAAGGAATAATAAATCGAAATTGAGTACTAAACCAAAGTTTTTTAGTTTTTACTTGCAACGCGAAAAGAAATAACGTGCGCGATTTACCTTTCCTTTCTTTTGTGAAAAAACTATTTGTGAAAAAACTATTTTTTTAAAAATGACGTGCAGGTCGTATCTTTAAATGTATTGTTGACAATTCTTGAATTCAAACAATGCTATTGAACACCACCAGATGGCGCGCGCGTTGCCAAAACCCGATGCTTCTTTAGCGTATACCCTGTAAATTTGTTCGTATGTTTTATTGTTAAAATATATAACTTTAAAGTTAGTTTAAGGTGGAATGATTTCGGTAAATTGTCTTAGGGTGGTTGGGTGTAGAGGGTTGAAGGGGGATAAAGGTGGTGGAAGTAGTGCCGGATATTCCAGATATAACTCACGGGCCGGGGCCACCGCAGTCATAACTTGCGGGACTTCGCCGTAATACGATGGGAC